TCTGTGTGTGTCTCTCTGTGTCTCTCTCTCTCTCTGTGTGTCTCTCTGTGTCTCTCTCTCTCTGTCTCTCTCTCTCTGTGTGTCTCTCTTACTGTCTCTCTCTCTCTGTGTCTCTCTCTGTCTCTGTGTCTCTCTCTGCGCAGTCGATCGCTCGGTGCGTCTCCTGAAGGATTGTGGGCCAGCGGCGCTCTCTGTCGAGCTCACCTATCTGACACCAGAGGGGGGCGGGGCCAGCAGCCTCCTTCTCGCCTTCATTCAAATGATTGACAGCATGTTGGCCGGTGGGCGGGACTTTGATCTGGCTCACGCTTACCTGGCGCTTTTCCTGAAGGTCAGCCAATCAGAACGCAGCTGAGTCGTTTGTTTCCTCAGTCTTTTATTGTGAAAATCTTCCCTCAGTTTCCTGTTTGTGATCCTTATTTTTTTTTTTTTTTCAGCTCCATCTCCGCTCGTTATCGCAGGATGCCGTTGCCATGGCTGCGTTGGTCCGCCTCTCCTCCCCGGCTGGAGACGGGGTGGGCGGAGCTACGGACATCATTCGACCAATCGCTGTGTCTGCTGTCGTACGCCAAGAGTGCACTGCTGTGACACACTGAATATGTATTTGATTAAAAGCTGTTTGATGTTCGTCTGTTTCATTCATTTAAAGCAGCATCGTGTTTTTATCCTGAATATCAGAATCATTTTGATGCTTCACTGACTTCTAACAGGGAGAATGGCGTCTCCGCTCCGGGAAGCTGGTTATATTTGCAACACTGGGCGGGAAGTCTATCACGACGTAAAGCTTTAGGTCAGCACGTCACGGCAGCTCGGTTCAGCGAGCTGTAAGAAGAAGCTAAATGTAAAATGTACAGGGTGAGTTCTTTGGAAGAAGCTCTGTATTCTCAGTCATTCATAATTTTAACTCCTCAGGACGAATTCTTTGACAGAATGACCTCTTCTTCTGCAGCCAATCCCCATCAGGCGAAAGGCGGGGTTCACCCTGGACAGGTGGCCACAGCAGGGCCACATCTAAACAACCACTCGCACCTGAGGACAGTTTAGCGTCACCAGTTAATTTGGCCTGCATGTGTTTGGACGGGGGAGGAAGCGTGAGGGTGTTTATAGCTGAACAATAATTAATAGCAGATATGTACAGAAATGATCCTGACGTTACCGGCAGCAGAGGCACTTATCTTAATCTGGGAGCTCTCATCACAGCAGAAACCGGGCTTCAGTGTTCTTCTGCTGAAGCTCTGCCAGAGAAGGTTCCCCTGCTGGCTTTCCTGTGTGCAGGGCTGAGGCCGCCGTGCAGTTGGAGGTGTGGTCTCGGTCCCAGGTGACTCCTGGGGTGGGCAGTCTTGTTTCAGGCAGACCGCAGAGATCTGCAGGACCTGATGTTTCTTCAGACTTTCTATAAACACAAAAGGCCTATTTCTCAAATATTGTTCACAAATCTGTCAAAATCTGTGTCAGTGAGCACTTCTCCTTTGCAGAGATAATCCATCCACCTCGCAGGTGAGGTATATCAACATGCTGATCAGACAGCATGGGGATTGCACAGGTGAGCCTTAGGCTGGCTCAGTGAAAGGACACAGTGCAGTTACATCACACAGCGTGTTAAGGGTTTTGTGGGACAGTTTGGAAGTTGATACGTCCAACCTGTAGTACATTACAGTGTAAAACCTGTCATCTCCTGTTGCCAGCAGGTGGTGCTGTGACTTTGAGTGAATGTTGGCATGTGGCTGTCATATATGTAAAATTTGGTGTAGATGTGAGTATGTAGACCGCTGTTTTATGGTGAATCATCGATTTTGGACGGCACGCCACGGGCACACCGTTCCACGAATACTCCCCATTTGCACAACTTTTAATCGTCAATGGGTTTAGACCGTACTGCAAAAACCTGAAGTTGTTCGGACTAAATGCCTAGGAGGAGTTTGTTAAAGTACAAAGTGTGTGTCTCTCTCTCTCTCTCTCCCTCCTTCACCCCAACCGGTCGAGGCAGATGGCCGCCCACCCTGAACCATGGTTCTGCTCGAGGTTTCTGCCTCTTAAAGGAAGTTTTTCCTTGCCTCTGTCGCCTAGTGCTGCTCTTGGTGGGAACTGTTGGGCTTCTGTAAATAACATCACAGAGTACGGTCTAGACCTGCTCTTTATGAAAAGCGCTGTGAGATAACTGTTGTTGTGATTTGGTGCTATATAAATAAAATTGAATTGAAATTGAATCAATAGGTAAACCTTTGTCCGGGGGCTGCTAGGGGGCGCTAGCGAGCCATTTTGCCACACCCATGCACGAAACCCATAAAATACAAAAGTTTTCACCGCGTCTGAATTATGTGCAAAGCTTGGTGAGTTTTCGAGCATGTTTAGGCCCCCAAAACTGAGGTTACTTTGCAGAAAAAAAAATCCCTGGGCCCTAAATATTATGCAGGTTCACAATGGTGATGGTTTACAGAGACTTCTGTACATTAGTCACTAGGTGGCAGTGTGTTCACATGATACACAAGAGCTTAGTTCTATGAATTAATAACTTGCTCATTTCATGTCATATAAAAATAAATATTGTTAAACACCACGACACTGTGTGCTGAGCGGGCAACATAACAGGGCTCAGCAGCAGCTGCTGTGGACGTAACGTTAGCTAATGGCAGAGGCGAAGAGGACGCAAAGAAGAGAGAAGAGAGTTACTGAGTAAGAGGCAGTCTGACGTTACAGAGAGCTTCTTGAACTAAAAGGCTGCAGGACGGATGGCGAGCTGGCCTTCTTTCTGCTGACTACTCCGTAACTTTGCTGTCTTGTTGCTTGATGTTTGGCTGTTAGCAAAGTTGGCGACTTGCTAGTTTTTTATTGTAAGTACTGTAATCACGCAGCTGTCATGTTCACACACTTGATGAAGAATTGTTTCGGGCTGGACCAGCTGAAGACCCAAAACCACCACTGAGCAGACCTTTCATTTGATAATCTGGATGTCCATGTACAGTCCCCTCCAAAAGTATTGGAAATTCGATCTTAAACCCAAATGTCTTCAGTGAACAACAAAAACAAAGGAATTTGTCTTTCTGTTCCAATACTTTTGGAGGGGACTGTATATTCTTTTTAAAGATATAGGCCTAATAATTGACAACATTAAAACTTAAACAAATCAGATTGCATTTGTAAAAAAAAGATAGAAACGTTTTCTGATGAAACAATCATTTTTAAAACAAGTGTTTTAAAGACCTTTTACAATACTTTTCACAGCCAGGTGTTTTCCAGAGTGGACCCAGTGCCAGGGGTGTAGGAGTGACTTTGAACCCGGGGGGGAAGCTGAAATTCTAGTGGGGGTTTGGTATCCTAATCCGATATTTAAAAATTTTAAATAAAGCACCTAAATGCTCATTTCTAATGACTTCTCAAAACAGAATGTGCTTATTAGTTTGGCTGAAAGAGGTTTGAGATGTGCAGTGAGAGAAGATGGAGAACAGACTGGAGAGGGGTATCATGAAGGTGCACAATCAGAGACGGAGAATATAACTACAACAAAACTCCACTGACTACATACCATAAAAAGATGGAACAGCTGCTAGTTAATGTAGCCACAGCTCAAATGTATTCACGTAACGTTACACTTGTGAGCTGTGATATTTCCTGTCTCTCTTGGCCCTGAGTCTCCCTGCAACACGTTTGTGAACACAGAAGTGTCTTCAGTGCAAACTCTGATGACATGCCGTTGGTCTAACAAAGTGTTTTTACTACGTGAGTTTTAGAATAGACAGTATGTCTCCTAGCTGTCCATCCAACTTACAAGCTCCTCAGTTTTTTCTCCTCCTGCTCCTGTGACCTCTGACCTCGTCCTCTTGAAATACTGCAGGACGCTCGTCTCTGTGAGACAATTTTGATTACTTTTAAGTTTTATACATTTTATACACAAACTGACGCCCAAACGAAACAGACTTTTTAATTAGCAAGTACTCTTGTTGAGTAGTGTTCTGGCAGAAGGGATAAAACTCCTGCTATAGCGAGCCCGTTTCCATGCCAGGAATCTATATCTACGTCCTGATGGTAGCAGAGTGAACAATGTGTTGAGAGGATGACTGATGTTGTGTGCTTTCTGTAAAATGGCTTTCCTGTTGAGGTCAGAGAGACTTGTGGTGGGGAGACCAATTATTTTGGAGGCGTTATTTGTGGTGTGTGTAAATTTTTTCTTATTGGTCACAGTGAGTATGTTGAAATAACAGACTGAACAGTAAAGAAAGACGGGTTGAATTATGCTTTTGTAGAGCAGCAGTAGAAGGTGTCTTAGCTTCTTTGCATTGGCTTCCAGTAAAATCCAGAATAGAATTTAAAATCATTCTTCTTACCTACAAAGCTCTTAATGGTCAGGCACCATCTTATCTTAAAGAGCTCATAGTACCTTACTACCCCACCAGAGCACTGCGCTCCCAGAATGCAGGGTTACTTGTGGTTCCTAGAGTCTCCAAAAGTAGA